TATATTATATTTTTCATAGATTGGGAGATTAACAATACCATTTGCAATACCAGAAGAAATTGAAGCTCGAGAAGCAAAAATCCAAGATTATTTCCTACAAGAAATTGACAAATTAATAACGGAAAAACATATTTATCATGTAAAAAATTTAGCTATGGCTGCAACTGTAATTAAATATATTTACATAATTTTTTTTAAAAATTTATTATCTTTCTATTACATATTTAACTAAAAATTTTTTTAGAACGAAGTTCTACAAGTTCATTTGGATACAAGTGAATCAAAGAGAGAGAAATGCGAATCTGCGCTTACAGAAGCACTTTTAAATTCTAATATTTTACAGAAAGATAAAGAAATACAAGAAGGAAACTATAAAGCACAACTCAGTACTATGAGTGAACATCTTGCTAATATGAATGAAAAGCTTATTTCGCAAACAGAAGAAATACAACAATTAAAATTTCAACTTGTAAATAAGGTAATGATTTATTTTAAATATAAATACTATTTTATTTTAAATAGTCAGTACATGGTTTAATAATTTTCAGAATAGTAAAAAAGGAAAACAAAAGTGATACAAAAGTCAGGTTATGAATTAACAATTATTGACATTCCAACATGTAACATGCTTTAATCTGAACTATTAACAGTTTTAATTTCATGTACATATGAAATTTGCACTTTTCAAACAATCATTATTTTTTATTATATATATTAACTAATATATTAAGGAATTTTCTAAATCAAAGTTATTTTATTTATGAAATAAAAATTATTTACTTTAATTTACTCTTATATTATAAAATATTTATAAAAATTATATGTCGTGTAAAATCATAATATACATTATCATTTATATGTATATACTCACGATCAATTTACTATTATAATATACATATGAATTGGATAATTTTTTTTGTTGAATACTTTAAATTAAAACTTTTCTTTGTATCTTAAATAATAAAATTAAAATCTTCTTTAATGATATAATATAATAAATGAAATTATTAAATCAACTGAAAAAATTTATTTTTTTTTTAACAAAAAAAATCTAAAATATTCCATTGCTGTATCACTGTCCTTCTCTTGCATCCCTCCTCTTCCTTTAATTTTTTTTTTCACAGAAAATATACTTCAACGTAGATATTTACGTTGTACGATATGTACTTATTTCGACGGAACGGCCGAATGGAAATACAGAAATGTTTATTCAAACATCAATGAAAATAAATCATCTATATCCAAGAACGAACAACAACTTGTATCGAAATAAAAAAATGTTATTTAAAATTTTATATAGTTTTGTTTATTATATCTTTTCTTACATTTTTTATATTAATTTATAATATTCGAAATTACGAATTTTGTGAAAATAAATTAATCATTGTATATTTATTTATATTGATTGCTAATTGATTCATCAAATTAGAAATTATAGAAATTTGTTATAATTTAATTAAAGAATTTAAATTGCATTATATTATAGTTTCATAAGATCACTGATGTACATTGTTTTGGAAATATGTAAAGTAATAATAATTTATAAAATATTAAAAAAATATTTATTAATGAATTTATATTATCTTTAAATATCTTATCTTAAAATAAAATATTTTACATATGTTTGCTTTTTATATCATATTATATTATATCATATTTTATATCATATTTAATTTATCATCAATAATTATTATTTATTTATTTAGTATGATATTTCATCATTTTAATCATATTAATGTTTGTATCTTTATTATCTTATATACATATGTATTACATACATACATACATCAACATACACACACACACACACACACACACACACACACGTTTTGACTATCATATATTCATTAAAAACATGGCGAAATTGAAACATGCGATTTGGAATATTTCTTCTAATTTTGTTGCAAATCGATATTTTTCACGTTTATTAACGTAAGTAATAAATCTAATCTAAGCTAAAATTTTTTATTTATTTATATTATACTTATTTAATTTTTGTTCTTTATATAAAACTATTTCAATATAAAATATAAAATTAACCAAAATTTGATATTAAGAAATCTGAATATATTTCATATATTTTTTTGAAATACTTTTTTGTTTTTAAAGAATTATAGAATAATTTTTGTTTATAGTTCTCAGTGGTATAATACGTCTACAGTCTCGTTATTAAATAAAACGTTAATAGACTCTACAGTGAAAGATAAAAACGATATCATCATTACAGATAGTTGCGTTAAACGTTTAAAGGAAATTACAGATGATAATGCTTATTTAAGAGTTACAGTAGAAGGTGGAGGCTGTTCTGGTTTTCAATATAAATTTGATTTAGATACAAATATAAATGAAAATGATAAGTAAGTATTAATATTAATTGAAATATTTATATAATTGTATAATTGATAAAAATTTAATATTAAATTTAACATTGTATTATAGAGTATTTCAAAAGGATGGTGCAAAAGTTGTTATAGATTCAACATCTTTGGAATACATTAAAGGATCAACAATAGAATTTCATACAGAACTGATACGTTCTGCATTTAGAATTACTAACAATCCTTTAGCTGAACAAGGTTGTAGTTGTGGTGCTAGTTTTTCTATTAAAATATAATTTCTGTTTAAATTCTATAAAAAAGCACAGAATTTATAAATAATAGTAATAATATAAATTGGTATATAATTTTATAAACATTAATAAAACATTTAACTATTTATTAATTATATATATATAAGAAATATTTTAAGATTTTTACCAAAGATTTAAAAAAATTATTAATTTAATTGATTATTTTATTTATGATATTATATTAAATATCAAAAAATATTTATTTCAAATGTTTTAATTTGTATTATTATTAAATGTGATACAATGAAATTTAAATTATTAATTATAAGTGTAAATAAGTAATACTATATATATTTTAATTCTATATGATATGATTATTATTTTATAAATAAAATCATGATAATTTCAAACATTTCTTTATAGTATTATTTATATATATTAATATAAAAAATGAATTTAAAAACTAATTATTATTTTCTTACTGTTAAAAAATTATTATTATGAAATAATAATAATTTTTCGCCAAACGATGCTTGCGTTCTTTGCGCAAGTCTATTTAGCTAGTCGGAAAAATATTAATTATTAATTAAGTTATTAATTATGGAATAATCATATTGTCGTAAAATAAAAATCTGTATAAAAATTCCTAATTTTTTTTTTTTATTTTTATTATATTATTGTATTATTTTTTTATTGTATTATTGTTCTATTGTTCTTTATTATTGTAAATAATATCGGAAGAGAAAGATTACTCAAAATATAATAGTCGAATCAGAAGTAGGGATGTGAGAAAAGAAAAGATAATTATTTTCTGAACTTTAAAGATTCAGGATATATTTTGAAAAATTTTATTGGAAAAGAAAAAACCGAAACTAATAAAAAAAATCTGTGATTTCATCTGTTATTATCTCAGGTATAACAATATATATTATTGATTAACAAGTTATATAATTATTAACAAAAAATTTATATTAAGTAACAATAATAATAGTAATAAAATAATATTTATGTAAATAATTTTAAATAATCCATTTTAAAGATATATAATAAACTAATATATAAAAACTTTATGTTGAATTATAAAATATTTTTTACAATAATGTTTTATAGATTTAAAATACTTAGTTACTAATTTTTTAATATTCACATTTAATATTTTCATTTGCTTTTAAATCTATGAAACATTTTTATAATTATAACTTGAAAAATATATTAGACATAACTGATGCAATAATTTACAAAGCAATAATATAATATTATTCCCAAATATATTGAATCTATTGAACAATGTATACATAAAATAAAGAACCAATTTCATGACTTGATAAATATACATATACATATACATATACATGCATACATATATATATATATATGTATATGTATATATTAAATTGCAATTTTCTATATAACTATTACTATAAAATTATTTTAAATATACATATATATTTTCAATTATGATAATTTAACTATATATCACTATATTTTGACCTTAATAAAAATGTTTTAATTTCTATGAAATTGACTTTCTTTTGTAGTTTATCATTTAATATAAATAAATGACATATAAATATATGTAATTACACAATAAATCATAAAATTATTAGCAAAGAAAAAAAAATATTTCACAAAAAATATAAAGCTAAAAAATTTTTTCTCAATATTTTATTTTTTTTATTAATCCAACATTCAAAAAAAAAAAGAAACAAACAACCAATGGAATTTTAATTATTCATTAAAATTTTTTACATGTTTGTTTAAAAAAATTATTATTTATAATTTTATCGCTAATGCTTCATATTCTATTAATGTAGTTAATATATATTTAATATTTTATAAAATTAAAATTATATATATTATATTATTTTTGCAATTTTTTAATTAATTTTTTTTAATTAAATCAATACTTCATTAAATTTTCGCTAATAATTTTATAATTTAATACATAAAATCTTCCTTATTAATTAAAAATCATTGTTACATAAGACAGTATTTTTCCACGCACTTGATGGCACAATATATTTTACCAATGATATTTAAATTTTAATTCTAAAATATTTTATACAATTGATAAAGATGAAATAAACTTTCATTTTTCTTATATCATATCATTATGTTTGAGCAATTATAAGAGCAAGATTTATTAAAATGTAAAAATTACATAACTAAAAAATAAATATTTATTTATTTTTTTTTTTATTATAATTTTTGAATAAAATTTGATATTTTTTTATTAAAATTTGAAAAATTATATTCGTTTGTTTTAATATTTTAAAAATTTATATATCAAAATTTTTTAATATTTAAGCTTCATTAAAAATTAATATAAATAAATTTTATATCTTTTTTATAACAAGAGTGACAAACTAATGAAAATGACAAATTGAATTAAATCTAAAAAATAATTAAAAAGTAGTAATTGAACATTTAAAATATTGGATAAAATATTGGAAAGTTTACTGTATCAGTTACATAAAAATTTGTATTGCTATAACAAATGATTAGTTACCATCAATTACTAAAAGTAACTAATTATTAATTATTATGATTATTTTAAATATAAATATTATCATATAATATCTTGAAATTTTTGCACATATTATTATATTTCCATTGTGTATCAAAAAATTATTTTTTCTTTTAGATATTATAATTTATATGATTAAATAAATTTTTTTTAATATTTTTTCGTAAATATTTTGCTAGATACGTAACATGAAATGTTACATCATCAAGCGCGTAAAGGTACTATAATATTTCTTTAATAAATAAATATTTTAACTTTTATAAATAAAATATTGAAAAGCTAAACATTATTTACTGAAATAATTTGATTGATCCAACCGATGAATGCCGAAACTTTAACATAAACTCCAGGAACATCCAATCTTCCACAACCGAATCCCCACGAAACAAGTCCAGCTAATTCATAGAATCCATCGTCTTGGCATACTAATGGACCTCCTCCATCTCCCTAAATATTAAGAGAGAAAAAATTTATATATATATTATTATATACAATAATTTAAATCATAATGATTTACATTAGTTATATAATTTTTTATAATAACACATTTTATTTTATTTTTGAACAATTTTTTCTTCTAATTTTAAATTCACAATTCTCGACAGAATTAAAAATTAATCACAATAATGATATATTAATTGTAAAATAATGCACAACTCGTAAAAAATAAAATTAAATAGATGTATATTTCAATTTTTATATTATTATCAATAGATTCATAGCATGTTTGTATATTACCTGGCATGCATCATTGCCTTGTTCACCACCAGCGCAAAAACTACTCGCTGGTAATATGAAAATTTTTTCAGTTACAGCATTCACTTTTCGTATACATTCTGCATCACTTACAACTGGTATTTCAGCTTCGCGTACTCGAAGCGGAATTGGGCCAGCTACACAAATACATACATACATACATACATATATATATATTTTATTATAAATATACGTTAAATGTATGTAAGATATTTAAGAAAAATTTAAGAAATAATTTTTCTAATAGCCGAAATAAATCGAAAATCAAGAATAAAAATATTGCGTTTTCAATTTTACTTTTTAATTATTAAAAAATATTATTAATTATGGAAATTAAAAATCAATAAAAATTTTTAGGTGGAAATAAATTTTTTAGAACACAACATACAATTCTCAAATCAATTCTCAATTTGAAATTGAGAGAAGTAGTATATTGAAATCTGCTGTATATCGTATGCAATATTTGAAAGAAAATTACTGAACTAATATAAAAATATTACCTTCTCCCATATATCCATAGCCAGTAACGGTACATCGTTTACCAGCTGTATGACTAACTCCTCGTGCTGGTAAACATACTAGACAAACACCATCTTTAAGTTCTGCTTGCCCGTGAAGTTTTAATAGTGCGATGTCGTTATCAAGGGTCTGACTATTATGATTATGATGAATATAAGTAGTTGCTACGCGCAAAGTTTGAGCACCAGGACTTCCATATTTCCTCGTTAAATCGTAATCACCTACTCTCACATAAATTGCATCGCCAGATCTTACAATACTGTAAATAAAAATGAGATAGAACATGTTATTTATGTATTTATATTTTATTATTATTATTATTATATGAGATAAAGGAAATAGTATGGGACAAAATAAGACGAAAATCAAAAATAAAATTTACTTTGTTACACAATGTGCAGCTGTCAATACCCATTGCGTGCCGATCAATGCACCACCGCAAAGATATTGATTATGGGCATTGATGAGACCAACGTGCCAACACCATTCATTAGCATCTGCATCTTCTCCTCCGACGACGCGTGCTTCTCTTTCAGAACTACGTACTTGAATTGGTCCACGGGAAGTTCCTTTTACACCACATACATATTTACTGTACACAGGACTTCTCATAGTTGTCGTACTTGTTGTTTCATCTACGAATATTTTAATAATATATATATATATACACAAATGAATTTTATAAAATAATTAAACGAATTATAGTATTTTGTATTTCATATGTATTTTTTTATATTCGATTAACGTTATTTCATTTAATACTATATTTTATAGAGATTAATTAATCATGTTAAGCAAAGAATTATCGTATATATATATAGTATACAGAAATAATTCAACAATAATAAAATTAAATGTGTATTTTCATATTTATAAAAAATAATATATAAAAAATTGAAAATATATTTCTTACATAATATATTTATATATTTTATATATAACTTACATAAAGCTGTCGTAAGTGATGTTGTGTACGGTCTTGAAGTAACGTACATGGTATCATTTTTATTATTTAAAATTGGTTCACTAGAATTTCCACCATTAAATTCTCGTATCAATGATTTTGGAGCGCAACATTGATGCCCTTGTTTTTTACATTTAAACAAATTCGTTAATTCAGCATTTCCTAGGAAAAAAGGACAATAAGAAATTTTATTCATTATTATGCAACAAAGGATAATATTTCTCCTTATTTTAAAGATCCACGTACAAATTTATATATAATATAACAAATTTATTTGAAAATTATTTAAAAATCATTTCATCG